GTTACATGAGATGTATTTTAAAACTAAAGGGAGCAATTGTTTGCCAAAATTAAAAAAAAAAGAGAATTATATTCAAGGATCACTAAAAATATTTATTCACAGATAAAAATTAATATAAAATGAATTGTTATTAAAATGGGGGATATAAATTAGTTGTTTATTAAATATGACTTGTTATTAATTCCTATATGTGAATATATTTTTTGAGTAGTCTTTGAATATAATTTTTCCAGTTAAAAAACATAGAGGGAGTAATTAATTTAATTGACACTCCAAATCGACCCCTTTTCTAGGCAGAAGCACATCTATGATTATCATAACTACGAATTAAGATAACGGCCACAAAGCTAATAAGGTTGGTTTTAATATAATAGATTAATTTTTCATAATAATTTGACGAATCAATATTTAAAGTTTAGCTAGAAAAGATGTCCACATTGAGGCTTGGTTTAAATGAAGGGAAAATTGAGAAAAAAAATAGAAAAAAAAAAGAAAATTAGGAGAAGAAATTTTCAAAAATAATAATTTCTTTTACAATTTTTAGGGGCTTTCTTTTCTTATTTTCTATCCTTCTTCGCTATTTTTCTCATCATTCAAATAAATGATAGTATCCAACTGTGCCTTAAATATAATTATTTTTAATAAGAAGATGCTCAATTTTTTTTTTAAAAAAGCCTAACTATACCTAACTTAATTACTCCTTTTTTGTCATATAGGATTAAAAAATCATTCTTTCTCTACTTTACAATTATAAATAAGACAAAAGGATGTAAAATTTAAGACAACAGTATTTACCATTTTTTTCAAGTTTTAACTATACCTAACTTTAGAAGTCCTAAGCAACGTCAGTAACAAGGTTAAAAAAAAAAAGCAACGTCAATTAATTTTTAAAATAAATTAAAGACATATTAGTAAGTCCACAGAATTGTTGACATGTCGATTATATTTTTTTATTTGTATTCTATAGCTTTATTACTAATTCAAAGAATTATATCAATAGGTTGGGATAAAAAAAATGGAATTGCTAGCTATGTAATATATAATTAACTTGAGTTTTATGGTATATTAAACTCCATGATCAAGTCTAACTATCTAAGGGTAGCAAGGCATGCGTGTACCCAAATATCATTAACCCTATATTAATTAGAGCCCTTCTTTCTGCCTCAAGTTACATTGACATAATGAAATCTACATTAATTATATTCTATTAAAAATTATATGGATTGAAGTTATGTACACATACTTATTACTAGCCTGAGTTGTAGCATATAGCTAATAATATTTGCCTAAAAAAATTTTGTCGATTACTTATTCCACATATTATTATTTTCTTAAAGAAACATGTACTAGAATAAAATAGTCAAAAAAATAATTAATTCCTCATGGGCAGATATTTTATAATATATTTACATATATAGTGCATGATCAATAATGTTGTCATATAGTATGTGCTTAACGTTTAATCATTTCAGATCGCCATAATGATATATGGAAGACGACAATCAGCCGCTTCTTGACGTTTTCTTCATCATTGTTGTTTATTTTAAATGTGCTTAGTATATTAATAAATCTTAGTCTTGTTTGTAAAAATTTGACTTAACCAATAAAATTGTGGGTTTAAATCATATTATTGATGTGAGAATCTTGTTGATGAATAAATTGTAAGTATCTCTGTAAATATTTTTTAAATTTGAAAGCATGTCTTGGCTCTAATGAATTCCTATAACTCAATTCATATGAATTTTTGTGTATAACAACAAAAAGGTGTTCAATATTTTTTCAATTAAAAAAGTTGTTCAATATTAATTTACTTAAACAAACTTTTCAGATGATAAGATTTGAATGGTACCAACTTTAATTTGGTGATAATGAATCCTCGTTTCTATTATTGCATTGTATATACCATATATTACAAGTGTGATACATGATTGAGCTCCAGGTGATATGGGATTAGCCTACAGTAATTACCATCTCTATGTACTTGACAAAGTCACATTTAACTATAATAACGTCCTTATTTTCCCAATACATAACCATAACCTCCAGGTGATATGGAATTAACCTACAGTAATTACCAAACCATAGTTAAAAAGCTTTTATTGCAGTCGATAAGTAAACTAACTATAGTATAAAGGAAAGACCAAATAACAAATCTAAGAAAAATTAATTTTTTAGTCCTTCAATTTTTAACTTAATTGTAACTTAATCTCTCAACTTTTAACTTGTTTATAACTCAATCCCTCAACTTTTGATTTGTTTATGACTTACTCCCTCAACTTTTGTTAGTTCTCTTTTTTTCATAATGTTAGCTTATGTCTTATATCAAAGAGCAAAAAGAGAGTATTTTATAGTAAGACATGAGTATTTTTTTTATCCCTCTTATTTGATAAGGATAATTTTTTAAAAAATTTAAAAAATAAGATTGAGTTATAAGTGAATCAAAAGTTTAGGGACTGAGTCGTAGTGAGTCATAATTAGAGAACTGAATTGCAATGAGTTATAATTGATGAATTGAATTACAAGTGAATTAAAAGTTAAAGGACTAAAAGATTAATTTTTTAAAAATCTACTATAATTAAAATATTTGAAGCCATCAATTTAATACTTTAATACACACTATTATGATAGAATAGTCCAAAATCATGTAATTTAAATTTATAAAAAACCCAAGATATCAAACTCAATTTAAATCATAAAAGGATCAAAGATGGGATCCCAAATTTTAATAAAGTAAACACTTTAAATCAAGTAAAAGCAATATTAAATTAAGTTATAAAAGATATGGAAATATGTGATACCAAATACATTTGAAAACATTAGTAAATAAGGTCAAAAATATCAAATATTCACGTACCAAGCCATTCACCACAGACATGGAGTGATGCGCCATTACCAATGTCTCATTGCACAGAACGTGATAGCACATTGTCGTCCAATGATAAATTAGGAGCTAAATTTTTCACGCACCCCAAATCTTCATCTAATGTTCAATTAAAGCAATATAGGTGTTCATAAAAAGCTCATCTAGTAAACTAACTAATAGCATTAATTTTATTTTTAAATTATTTCATATTAAAGAATTGGACACCTAAACGCCACTAATCACATATTTACACTTAATCACAACCCTGAGGTGTCCACAACTCTACCTAAGTGCCAAAAGTAATTCTTGAATAATTTTAGGGCTAGATCGAATTTAAACAAAATATTTTTTTATCTCAAACCTATTTGAGTTGGTTTGAATATGTCTTAAAAAAATTCAAACCAAGCCTAATCGGATCCAAGTCTAGCCCAAATATCCAATTTTTTACATATAATATTATATATTAAATGCTTAGTAATCCCTTAAGATTTAGTACGTGATACTAAGATATTATATTATATGCATATTTTAGTACATGGTTATATATTTTTTTAACAAAATAAAAAATATCCATATTGCTATATTTTTCTATCATTTTTTATTTACAAAAATTACCTTAAAATAATCTTTAAAATATATTCTAATTTTTATTCTAAATTTAAGACCCACAATTTTTCTTAAAAAATTGAGTGTTCAATTTTTTTTAAGTGTACCAAAAAGTATATTGTATATTTTTTGTTACAATAAAAATAATTAAATTTAATGTAAAGATTAAATTTTCCTTAAAAAAGGAAAAAATAAAAAGTATCTTGTATATTTGGACCAATCCAAATAAACTCAAAATATTAGGATTGAGTTTAACTATATAAATTTTTTAAATATGTTCAAGCTTATTTAGGATAAAATTAAGTTTAGCTTATTCAAATTATCGACTCTACTTGTGTTTCATGCTTTTCTTCTTAAGAAATAGTAACTAAACATGAAATACCCAAAAAAAAAATTCCAAGAACTTTTGTTAAATTTAAGTCAACAATAGTAATTGGTTACCCATTAAACTTATGAAAGAGGTTAACTTTTTCTATTTTGTTAAAATAGCCTGAAGCTGACTATTAAGTTTTTAAAAATAGCATGTAATATATAAGTTTCTTTCTGGATGAGTTTGAGAATGACATTTGCACCGTTATATTCATTCATGTCCTAATTGTATAACAAAATTTTAAAATTTTATTTGATTTTAAATATAGGGAAAAATAATATTGTAGCTAATTTTTATTTTCAACATTACACTCCTTCTTAAATGCATTAAATTGTTGTCAAAATTTTTAATTTTTGCACGCATTTCATTCTTATTATTAATTTTATTAAATTTTTTACAAATTTGAAAATATCATCTATCATTCCTTATTAATAACCATGAAGTTAATTAGCTTTTTTATACAATTAATTGGGAGTGAGAAATGCTCTAACCACTCAATCTAGGACTCCAATCCTTTGAAATTATAGTACGCACATATGCACTTGTTTGGAATTCCACATATCCCCCCCCCTCTCTCTCTCTCTCGCACAACACGCACACGCACTTGATTTATCCTTATTTCTTGTTTGATTCTCTTCAATTAATTTAAATTACTTTCCCAGAGACAACTTTCTATAGCGTAATAAGTTTTATGTCTCACAGTCTAAGCAAAGCATGCCCAGGCCTACCAACACTTTTAGTTGTATCTCTCTATACATTCTCTCCTTATATATATATATATATATATAGCTTTTATTTGTTTTTTTAAAAAAATTGATGATAAGTTTCGTGAACCTTAATAACAACTTTGTTATTTAAATTTAAAATAATTATACTTTTTAAATATATTTTTAACCTAATTTTTTAGATTAAAACTAAAATTTAAATATTTTTTCTCCTTGTCATCATCATCATCTCCCCTCTCTCCCCCACACAAACAGACAAGAGGAAATAAAAGCGATAAAGTTTTAATTTTAAAATAGCCTCTCTAAAGTCTTTCCATTGCAGACCTTAATTACTCTCTTTCATCCCTCTTAGTCACGGGCTAAGTATTATATACACACACACAGTTACACACGATGTTGCCGTTCATTGCTTCACTTGCAAAATTCACTACCAGCACCTCGTATCGTTCTGTCTCTCTCGATTCCTCAAGCAGAATCAGTATATATATATCATCACTTTCTTCCAGATAGCTGTCATCAAGTTCTTTCTGTTGTGAGAGTACACGAAGGAATCACAGCGAAAGCATGGAGTCCAGAATTGTTCATACTACCGATCATCACAAGAGGCCAAGCGTCGTGGAGGAGCTTGGTCCAGAGGAGAAGAAGAAGAAGAAGACGATAATAAAGTACAAAGAGTGCCTAAAGAACCATGCAGCTTCGATGGGAGGGCATGCAACAGATGGGTGTGGCGAGTTCATGGCTGAAGGAGAAGAAGGCACGCCTGACTCTCTCAAGTGCTCAGCTTGCAAGTGTCACAGAAACTTCCACAGAAAACACTTTGAAGCTGAAGATTCTGATGATAATAGCCCTTCTTCTCTACATTATGATTATCATCCTCATCCTCATCATCTTCTTCTTTATTCACAGAAGCTTCCAGATCATGATGGTGCAGATGATCATCAGGTCATGAAACCCTTGTTGATCAATGATTTGTGTCTGGGAAGTTACAATAATAAAAGCGGCTCAAATGCTTCTTCAGATCGTGAGTCTGATGAGAAGAGGGTGATGACGAGGAAGAGGTTCAGGACCAAGTTCAGTGAAGAGCAGAAGGAGAAGATGCTGAGATTTGCAGAGAAGGTTGGGTGGAGGATGCAGAAGGGGGATGAATCCATGGTTCAGCAGTTCTGTGAAGAACTTGGAATCAAGAGAAGAGTGCTCAAAGTGTGGATGCACAATAACAAGAACACTTTCTCCAAGAGAAACCTCATAATCTCCTCCACCTAAATTAATTTTCATTGCAATTTCTCATTCCTCATGAGGCTTTTGTTATTGCCCTTTCATTAGTACTGACTTATTTTTCTCACCCTTTTCCTTCCTGGCCAACTACTTTTATTTTTTGATATAATTTTATCTGATTGAATCATATTCCAGCATTGACAGATCAGATTAAAAGTACCTCTTTCAAAATTTTTAAGCATTTTCTGCATTCACAAACTCAATTGCGACCTTATTCTTAAGCAGTCACATATAGATCATCCCCTAGAACCAATACCTATTAGTTCCTTCCTGGCCAACTATTGTTTGTTTGCTTTCAAAGGATTGCTGCGCCTGAGTTTGAGGAATTATTGTAGTAATGTTTTATATATATAGACTTTTATTTAGTTTTCATGTGAATTCTATGTTTTTAAAGTTGGACTGCTGCAATTTATTCTAGGTTGTGGTCTAGATACAATATAATGTATTAAAATATATATGATTTGTATTTGGCAAAAAAAAAAAAATGAGTTGTTAAAAATGTACATTATTGATAGATAACTGAAGAGTTCGATATATAACAACAATATGATAAAAAAGTATGATGAATGCATAATGTAATGAAAAATATAGTAATCTAGGCTAAAACTGACGGCCAACTCAAATAAATCAGAAAAATTTCATAACCAAACTTATGAAAGTAATTTTTCTTTTTTCTTTTTTTAACATTTGGGCCTATTTGGGGTCAAGAAATTTCAAGCGAAACCAAATTGGGTTTAAACTTGGGCAGAATAATTTTACTTTTTATGACTTAATTAAATATTGACAGAGATATATTTTTTAATAAAATTAAAAAGTTACATATTGTTATATTTTATAATATTGAATCTGTAAATCATCTGAAAATAATTTTGAAAATGTATTTTAATTTTAATTTTTAAACTTTAACGCTAACAAATTTTTTGTAAGAGTTTAGTTTTGCATATTTTTTAAGAGTCCCAGAATATATTGTATATTTTTCATAAAGATGAAAGAGCAAAAATATCCACAAAGTGGTCGGTCAGGGGCACCTAGTATCCTAAAGTGAAGAAAAGAGTAAAATACCCATAATGTTACATAAGTGGTTGTAAAAGTGACTAGACCATTAACTTTAACCTAATGTCGTTAACTTTGACCATTAATTGCTAATTGTGCATGCCACATGTCAGCCTTTACTGATATGGACTAATAAAGGAGCAAAAATATTCATGAAGTTGTCAGCTAAAAGCAAAAATATCCATAATGTTATTAGAGTTAGTGCAAAAGTGACCAATACATCAAATCCCTTAAATGTTTACCGTTTAGTTGATACCTAAGTAGAAGTTGATTATTTTTTCATTGACATGGACAAAAAATATTTTCAGATAAAATTCTTTGGATATCATGTTAATCGTTCATTGTATGAATATCATATGAGAAAATATCATTTTGATTGAATATCAAATTAATTCACTATCATTGTATAGACAAAGAATTTTTGAACCTATCATAAATGAAATTACTTAAGGTTGTGACAATATTCTTAAAATAGGGTGGCGTAGAAGGTGTGCTCAGTCTTAATTTTTAATTGTGTACAACCTATCTCACTATGTTAAATATCAAGTTTTGCAGATAAAAAAAATGACTAGAGAGGGAGGAAGGAAGGGGGAGATAGGAAAGAAACCATGTGGCATGAATTTTGACGGATTGGTCACTAATTATGGGTACTCATATGATGATCGATCAACAATCGAGAAAATTTATTTGGGAATATTTTTTTTGTCTACATTGATAAAAAAATAGTCAACTTCTACTTTGATATCAGTTAAACAGTCAACATTTAAAGGATTTGATGGACTAGTCACTTTTGCAGCAACTCAAGTAATGTTATGGGTATTTTTGCTCCTAGTCAATGACTTCGTGAGTATTTTTAGCCCCTTATTAGTCTATATCAATAAAGACTGATACGTGACATGTACAATTAGCATTTAATGGTAAAAGTTAATGATGTTATGTAAAAGTTAACGGTGTAGTCACTTTTGCACCACTCATGTAACGTTATGGATATTTTTTTCATTGTTTCCACTTTAAAATACTGGATGCCCCTGACTAATGACTTTGTGTGTATATTTGCCCCTTTATCCTTTTCATAATAACAACAACAATTAATTTTAAGGAAAAAAAAATGAAATTTTCTTAGAAATTTTAAAAAATATTTAATAATTCAAACCAGCCCAACTAAGTACAAGAAACGTGATATATTTGGACCATGCTCGGTTATATAAACTTTTTTTATAAATTCAAGCTTATTAGGATAATAAGATAGACTTTCCCCAGCTCTAAAAACTGCCAATGTTATCAACTAATCAGTCTAAAGCTCTTTGGCCCAAAGAAACAAAAAAACAAAAAGAGTCTAAAGCTCGAAGCTTTGGAAAATACTTTTGATTGTTGATAGCGTTATTGAAGACTTTTCCTTATGTACATGTGTGCTCGGGAGGGTGGGGCGTAGATTCGGATGGTTTTAATAACAAAACGATGGCTCTATTTTAACTAAGCTAACTTATGTTGAACTAATTTAACTTAAAGAAAACCGCTTTTTTTCTTTTTTACATCTGTTATTTTCTACCCATAATTCCAAAATGGAAATTGATAAAGATTACCTACAATTGATTCTTAAATTCCTTAAGTCTCAAAGCTTAAGAACAAGACTATATCAACCTAGGTTTAATAGAGAGTGGCTATAACTCTTCACCTTTCCTGAGACACTTCAAGGCTCTTCTAGTTTCCTTTCCTCCTAGCATTCTTATATATTTAGCCTCCAGTCATCTTGCATAGATTGAATAATTGGGAGCTATTCATAAAAATCTATAGATCATAGAGTGCTTTAGTGTAAATGTAACCCTTCATAAAAAAGATGTGAGGTAATTGGATAAACCTTTTTATCTATTAGCTTGTAAGATTATTTAGAAGTTACTTATGTAAATTATATTATAGTATGATTTCCAAACTAATAAAGTAGCTTTTATGAGAATTGTGATGTATGTGATTAGTGATACATGTGGTGCACATGAGAAGTGATGCATGTGGTGTGTGCAAAAAGTGATGTGTGTGTATGAGAAAGTGATGCCCTGATGTAAAGTAGAGGCTTATGGCCCTACTTTGTGTAAGGCTAGAAAATCTTAGTCTAAAGTTTTAATTACGATCCATTAGAGTGACTCAAGAGTGCATGAGCATTCATATATGATTAGAGATGGGAGTTCACCTTGTAGAGTTGTGTAGACCATGGTCTTGGCATGTGTGACACCTATGCCCTGTGAACCATCAAAGATGGGCATGGTTGAGCTACTCCCTACTACTATGTGAGTGATTTTTAGGGGGAGTATTCAATGCCCTGTCAATTGGTTAGGGGGAATCCATAGTCTAGAGGTGGTAAAGAGGTACCAACCCTACTTCTTTGATTAATGATGAGTTTAGACAGACTAGAGAGGTCCAGTATATATAGCCTACGGGTTTAGTTGGGAGATATGGAGGTTTGGTGGATACTAGTAAGCATGCTCATTTATAATTATCTTTGAATTACATAATATTTATACTTATATTTATTGTGAAAAGGATGCTATTCTATCTCTTATGCATGGTTTTACTTATTAATCGGTGCTTGGGTTTATTCAAGTTACTGGGATGTATGTTTTACTTCATTACTTCATGTTTATAGGTGTTGAGAGCTCAAAGAGCTTAGGACAAGAAGTGTGAGAAGAGTAGCTTCATTTCTGATATTTTATATAGCTACTTTTAAAATGTATAATTGTATTTAGTGTTTAAGTTGCCAATTAGAGTGCAAACATGTACATATGTCATTTTGAGTAACTTCCTTGTATTATTTTGATGCATCTTTGCCAAATGTGTAAATGTGTGTGAATATGGTGGTTAGGCTTAGATGCTTTTACAAGCATGTGTCTGTGTGTGTGTTATCTTATGGAATCTTACTTCATAAAGTGTGAAAAGTGATTCTTCTTTAGCTTATGGTGCTTAGAATGTAGGTACCTATGTAAAGCTAGAAGTGTTTATTAATAAGCAAGATTTGGGAATGTGAAGTGTTCAACTTGTTCCACTAGAATGTATTTGTGCTTACATGTAATGTCTGCTTTGACATTACCAGGACAACACTCTAACACATCGTTGTGATAACTAAGATTAATTAAAATCCTAATAAAAATATTATCATAGCCTAAGGATTTAAAAATAATAATTAAAATATTGTAATCTCAAGAAAACCCATTTGAAAAGTCATTTGAGCTTAAACTATGGTTTAAAACAAATTGAATAAGGTAACGACAACATGAAACCCAAAATCAGCACTCAAAAATGCAAAGGAGATATTTTGGAAAATTCAAAATTTGCACTATCTGTTGTAATACAAGCCCTTGCCCACCACAACAGATGGTACAAAGAGCCAAGCTGGGCAAATGCATTGTGGCATGATTGCCATTCGCCGCAGCGCGCACCTACTGTTCAGACTAACTTTCAAAGTAAGCCGTTTCACCATTTGATGTTTAATTTGAGCGATTCAAGTGTCCATAAGTAGCTCTTTAAGCCCTCTAGCTATTAGTACTAGTTTCACACCTAAATCCTCAACCATTAAAAAATTAGACACCTGAACCTAAAATGGTCCATTTTTACCCTATAACACTCACAAGGGTGTCCAAAACTCACAACCTAGTGCCAATAGTCCTGAAATCACTTGGACCAACTCAAATGGGCCACACACAACCTAACAGGTCAATTATATCATGTAAATAACAATCTATATATAAAATGACTATCAAACCCCTAATTCACAATAATATTAAAGGGTGGATAAAATTCATCATAAATGTCATTTGGGCCATTCCAACACATAATTAACACAAGTATATCACTTGCACTAATATCTTGACCTCACAAAATTTCAATACATATATATTATTCTAGGTTGAGATATACACTCGTACACTATAATTTTCAACCAAGTGATTGCAAAATAATGAAATGCTCCTACGTTGGCATAATATCCAAATTATTCATTACAAACCAAAATGACAAGGGAAAAGAGCTATACAAATGTAGCCTTCAGTCCTTAGTAGTCCCTTCCTTCCCTTTGCCCTTACTAATGCCTTTACCTATAAAATATAACTACAAGGTGAGATAAACATCTTAGTAATAAAATATTCACTACTGTAACATCCTCAATTGTAAATTAGGTTAATTAAGCTTAAATAGACTAATTAAGTGTATTAGTGAGGTGTGTGGCTAAAGAGGCCTAATAGGCGTGTTTGGTCTAGATTTTAGTTCTAAATGCGGGTTCAAAGGAGAATTGGGTCA